TTGTTGTAATGTTTAAAGGGGGAGATATCAAAAGAGGAGCAAAGAAGCTTCAAATGAGATTTCGAGAGTTGAGGACGCAGATATTGAAAAGTCCTAGATGCAGGAGCTACAGAGCAGAAAACTCTAGCGCTAACTAGGGATTATGTCAAGGGAGGCCATTGGTAGAGAAGTGGAAGAAGTGAGAAAAGGAGTAGCAGGAGACAAGGTCCACTAAGACTGGAATTAATCCACAGAAGGTTCTCAATACCCGATGCTAAAGTTTCCACTGATTTACACCCCATGAAATCACATCAACTTCAGTGATGTGTAGAACTTAGCCCCAAGAGGTAGTTTTGGAACAAGATACTAAAATGAATGCATATCCAGTGAAGTATCTGAAGATGAGGGAGGATGTATCTACTGCCTGCGAAGTAGGGTTCAACATTCTGCACATGCTAGATTCTGGGACTTGGGGAGGCCAAATAGAAGGAGGAATTGAAATGGTTAAGACAAGAAGAGATGAAGGTGTGGATTGGGTTTTCAATATAAATGGAGCTGAGGAAGTGGCATACGTAGGAAATGTTGTAGAGTGGTTGATAAATCAATATCTTTGTTTACCTTTTGATTTACACAAAAACATTATTTTCCTTCAGAATGTTGGCAATGATTATTTACTATTTGTATTAGGGTTGCACCTTCAGGCACTAACAATGGCTAGGAACTGATTGTGTTAGGCACTGCATAAACAGGGTAAAAGGCAGTCCATGTTCAAAATAGCTTTCAATCTCAATCAACAAAACAGACAAACAGAAATACAGTCATAGAGCCAAACAAGAAAAGAAGAATGAGGAGGGACATAACTGTCTTCAAATATGTCAAAGGCTTTTATAAAGAGGATAGTAGTCAATTGTTCTTCCTGTCCACCAAGGGTAGGACAAGAAGTAATCTGCTTAGTTTGCAGCAAGAGAAATTCAAGTTAGATATTAGGGAAAAAATTCTAACTATAGTGCTAGGTAAGTACTGCAACAGATTACCTAAGGAGGCTGGGGAATTCCTATTCTTGGAGGCTTTCAAGAATAAAGTGTTGCAACAGGAATTGTGATAGGATAAGGATGGATTGTGGACACTGGTACAGGGTGGTCTTGCAATTTAAGATCTTTTAGTGAGGAGGGTGTAATGGAATACACCCATGTATTCACTCCCTTCACACTATTGTAATAATCTCTGTACAAAATATGCCTTGTAAGGCATCATTTGAAACTCATAATTTGCTGGTCAGTATTGTTCTGGTAAAATGCATGTGACAACATTGTATGTGAAGTTATAAGATTCCCCTGTATGATGATGTTAACACATGTTCCAAACCTCACAGCCCTGCCCAGGCAGAAGTCAGGTCTGTCCTAAACAAAGGAAGGAATGTATGCTTGCCTTAATTTGCATTTAAGCAGTAAACTGAGTCATTAAGCAGGAAGGGAAAACAAAGGAAATTCAAACAGGTGAAAAAACCAGCAAGGAATATGCTTCCCCACAGACTCTTTGGGCTTGTCTACACTATGCAGCTTTTAGTCAGCATGTGTGAATACTCTCTATCGGTATTTTGTCGGCACTTTTGCTGACAAAATATTTCCAGGCCCGCGAGTGGCATAAGGGTTGTTGGTAGGAGTGTGCTGCTGCTGACAAAGCCGCATTCACACTGCTGCTTGTGTTGACAAAACTTTTGTCTTTTGCAGGGGGCTTTTTTAAGTACCCGCGAAAGACAAAAGTTTTGGTGACAATGTCACACTGTGTAGACAAGCCCTTTGTTTTCTGGGTCTCAGCTGGAAATATTTTTTCAAGAAGGGGACTGAAACTGTAAAAAGGAGGGACAAACTGCCCCAAAGGCCCCTTCTCTTTCTCCCTACCCTACTCATTTTCTGCACCTGAGAAGACAAAAGGAAACAGCTGTTGGACTCTGGAGGAGGGGTCCTGACCTGAAAGTTTGGTCAGTAAGGCTGCTGGAGCATGTAGTGAGAAAGTTTCCTTTGCAGCTAAGATAGTTTCTTAAGTAGATACTAGTAAGTGTTTTATCTTTATTTTACTCTTTACTTGTAACCACTTGAAATCTATCTCTTTGTAGTTAATAAACTTGTTTTACTGTTTTATGTAATCCGTTGTGTTTAAATAGATGTATCTGGGTAATTCCATTTAAGATAATAACATGGGATTTTATTCCATTGTGCCCTGGTATTTCACAGGGGGTAGTTAAGGTATCGCTCTTCTTCCCTCAAGAAGATAAACTATGTGAAGGTGAGTGCAGCCTCTCTGTGAAGAAGGTAAGGAGTCTGGACAAAAGGGGGATAGTGTGTTTGGAAACCCAGACTTGCAACCTCTGAACTTTTTGGCATAGGTACTAGTGTGGCACCACATAGCAGCACAGGTCACATGAGACAGCCAAGGGACTGGTCCAGAAGTCTCTGACCCCTGGGGTGTTCTGAGATGTTTATGGATCTTGGGGACATCTGTGAACTTAGTGGGCTAAATCGTCTGTCATTCCCTGTGGGAGAAGGGTGCAACCCTATCAATCTCCACCAATTTTTTTCCTGGAGGAACAATCTATGAGAAAAAACTCAGTTTCTAAGCCCCTACACAGGTAAACCCTCAAAAGGGCAATCTGTGGCACAGTATGTGTCTAAAGAACTTTGAGTTCCTCAGATGAATGGTGTGATATGAGAGAAAAATATTATTTAATATGAATGCATAAAATATCATTGTGAATTTCCTTACATTCAGTGCCATGGAAAGAAGCAAGAGGGGTCAGAGGAATGAGGAGGTCTCTCTATTGGGAAGAGGGCTGAGAATAACATTCCCCCACAATTGTGGAAGCTCTGGGGGTAGGGTGCTTTCCTCCTGACTAGTCTTTGGGACCTTCAGTAGCGTCAATCATCAACAATTCAGGTTCAATTGAAACTGTGGGCCTGTGGGAAGCCATTTAATTGGGTCCTTCAGTGTGCATGCTCCTCCCTCATACCTACTTCAAACTGCTTTGCCTTGCCATCATGCACAGATGGGGGAGGATGCAGAGGGGATGGCCCATACAGGAGGGAAGTTTGTCTGTGTGTGTGCGGGGGGAGAGGTGGGAATGTATCAATAACTGGCTTGTGAATACCCTCCTCACCCAGAGGCCTCTGTGGCCAAGTATCATGTGTCTCTTGTGACATTAATGCCTGTGGCTGTCCTGTCATCCATTCTGCTTGGCTCAGATTTTGCCTTGCAGTTGCTTGTTGCAGCCACTGGGAGTCGTCGTGGTGCCTGCTCTGCAGGCAAGGCCGGCTCCAGTGTTTTGGCCGCCCCAAGCAGCCAAAAAAAAAAAGCTGCGATCGCGATCTGCTGCGGCAATTCGGGGTAAGGTCCTTCGCTCTGAGCGGGAGTGAAGGACCGTCCGCCGAATTGCCGCCGAATAGCTGGACCTGCCGCCCCTCTCCAGAGTGGCCACCCCAAGCACCAGCTTGCCAAGCTGGTGCCTGGCGCCAGCCCTGTCTGCAGGCAGCCAGGCAGCCTCTCTGTTTCCCCTCTTGCTGTTCCCATTCCAAGGCAGTATAAAAAGGGGAAGGTGCATGCTGGAGTATGTTTCTCTTACCACATAGAAAACCCTCCAGAAAACCCAGGGCCCACTCACATCTGCCAAGGTTTTTACAGCTTCATGTCCCACCCCTGCCACTGCTTGGAGCATGCATGGTGTGTTGAGCAACTAGATGTTCTCTACAATTGTGCAGCCTGGAGCTGCACAAAACTTGGCTGCTATGAGCTTCAAATGATCTCCACAGAGTTCTTTGTCAGTACAATACAGCACTATTTAGGTCAGGACTCAGGAAGACCCTGCATGGAGATATTAAATATCTCACGCACTGTTTAGTCAGTCTAGGAGCTGAAAACTCTAGGGTCAGTGTCCAGCAGCTTGAATGAAAAATGCCTTTTATATTCATTACAAGAGGGGGACAGCAACCTTTGAAGTAAGTCTGAAGATCAAACACATCATCTCACAGGAAAAATAGTTTTAAAGTTTTTTCTTCCACCCATCCCCACCCTCCCAACAGGGGCATCTCAGCTCCCATTTCTGCTCAGTACTGTAGTGCATTAATGTTATATTTTAGGGAAAGTTGAGATTTCCAGATACGACTGACTGACCAGGCTTCCCACCTGTAAGGCAGCTCTGCCTACAAGAGCTACATCGTCAGTAGTTACTGCACTGTCTGTCCCTTTGCAAATGGTCTCATTGGACTCCCAATGAGTTCAAGCACTTGACCCTCTATTATACTACTACTACTAATAATAATTAACAAAATGGAAAACAGACTTCCAAGTTATCTGAGGGACCCTACAGGATTTACTGCTAGCTTGATGCATGTGCTTTGCATTAGTCTGTCACCCTCTGCCACCCAACTTGTGCATCTCTCCAGTGATTGTGTGTGTGTGTGTGTCTGAGTGTGAGAGAGAGAGAGAGAGTCTCCTAGGGATGGAAGGGAAGGAGTCACATAAAGATCTCAAAGCATGTGGACAAATATAAATAGTGCATCCTCATCTACTTGGCTAATAATTAATAAACACACAGCAAAAATGGGGGCAGGGACACAGCCTGAGGCTGGGAAATTATTGAACAGTGTTCCAGGAGAACAGATAGTTTGGGAGGGGGCTGTGGGGATTTCCTTTGCTTCCCTCCATCTCAAGACAAATTTCTGCCCAACCTCTCCCCAGGAAGACCATTTCTAAAAGTCAAGGACAGGTGTAGTGGAACAAGTGGCATCAACTGAACTGTGGTGAAATCTAGTCTTGTTTCGGGGGGAAGGGAAGAAGGGGGAGGCTAAGGTCCTTTGCGTGATCTCCTAACCCAGTTCCTGTTTCCTTTGTCCCTTACTGCCTGGCAGGTGCACGTAATGAGACTGCAGGTCCTCGCTCCTCCCTACAGTAGGCGCTGCTGCTGCAAATCGTTTGCAAGGGACAAATCTTTTACTTGAAGCAGCTTCTCCCTCCCTCCCCCCGTTTCTCCTCTCTCTGTATCTTTCCTGTAGCACTGGGCTCCCACAGCTGGGGAGCTGCTTTTCCCCTCTAGTGTGCGCTGAGACACCGGAGTGTGAGTGTGTGCAGAGAGAGAGAGAGAAGGAAGGAGGACAGAAAAATCAGGCAGAAAGATCAGTGGCTGGAGAGAGAGGGGGGAGAGCATGTTGCCAGTGGCTCTTCAGCAGCAGCCTTCCTGTTTCCATCTTCTCTAACTGCACCCCAAAGCCTCAGTCTCTTCTGCAGCCAGGGACAGTGAGAAGAACAAGAAATTTTGAAAGGGGGGGAAAGAACCCCCAGGAACCTGCAAGTCTCTCCCATTCATTTTTTTCCTCCAGTTTTACCATGAACCAGGCTCTTTCCTGTCTCTGAGGAGAAATTAAAAAGCAGAAGGGGGAATTCAGCAATTCTTTGGTTGCTAAGGTAATTGGAGTGGTTGCACACAGATTTCTGAAGGAGCTTAATGGGCAGATAATGTTATACATTTCGGGGCTTTTTGCTTGTTTGTTTAAAGAGAGAGCTTTTAAATCTGCAATTCAGCTCTGTCTACAAAACCGCTTGAGAGCCAACGCATGTTGGTTGTGCTCCGTGTTTTCAGGAACCCCTTTGGGGGCACAGGGGGGTTCTTAATATAGGATGAAAACATTTTTTTTTCTCTTCCAGAGTGGGTTGCATGTTCTGCATGTGTATTTGAGAATAGGTAAGGTGTGTGTGTGTGTGAGAGAGAGAGAATGAATTCGTTTACTGTTATATAGGAGCTGCAACTCTGTTGCCCGGAGTAACGTTATTTAAATATGATTGTGTGTGTGGTGCCTAAATACAAGCCCCGGGATGCTATTTGTGAATGTACGCAAGCTTCTCTGACACAGGCGGCTGGAGAAGGGCTTGTTCCAAAAGAAAAACGATCTTATACGGATGGGAAAGAATCGCGGTTGAAGAAAACATACTGGAATCACTAAGCAACCAGTCTGGGGAAAGGGGGGACTTTTGTGTGTGGTTCTCCAGCTATATTGCTTCACTTGCATTTATCAATGAAGGAAGATGGGAGACTGGAGTTCAGCAGTAGTTTACAAGAGTCTCTACTGTGTTGGCTGACAAATTGCAGCCCAAGGCTCCGCAAAAGCACGACAGTGAAATCTTTGGTGGGGAACGGCATACGTCGATATATACAGCAGGGGCTTTGGGGGCAAGCTGGAGCTTGTTCCGAAGGCGGGGGGTGTTTTGGGTGATCACATTTTCTACTGAAAAGGAAGTCAGTTTGGTTTAAAGGCAAAATGTTGGGGGTAGAGCGAGAGCCCTCGCTTATCGCAGATTCTTAGGCGGGCGTGTCGCTGCACGTGTTAAAATGATGAGCTCGCCTCGCTCCAAGGATTTCGGAAGAAGTTGATAAGTTCTGCAGACAGGTGCGCTCGGAAGGGGTGTGGGAGCGGGGGGCTCTGGCCGCTGGCCGAGTAGCTTTTGAATGCAGCAGGAAAGCTGTGCATGGCGTTTTTGCTAGGTTCTTTGATTTTCTTTTGTGGGGGAGCGGGTTGAGAGACTACGGACTTCATTGGGAGATCCCCGAGCAGGAGATTTCCCCGCACAGCAACACAGCGGAAAGTTTGTGTCTCTTGTAATTACAGCGAGTAATCCGCCCCTTCCAGTGCGAAGCCCTGCACAATAGAAAACATTGGGAGTATGGTGCTTTGTAGCCGCCTCATCTATCTCACCGCCAGCCAGACAGCTCACTCAGTCACGTTGTTCTGTTTGAGAAATATCAGCTCTTGCAAAGCACCGAGGAGGAAGGAAATGGTGTTTACTAGGTTTATTTTTAATGCAAATACGAATGTTTGTATCTCCCGTCTCCTTCGGTAATTGCAATGCTCACTGAATCCACAGCATTGGGACTTTAAACAAAGGCTGCTGCCTTGTTTTTAAAAAAGACATGTTGTCATGCCATATAAAAGATTGCAGGAAGGCTTTCTGGGTTAGGAGTATGAAATGGGACACTGGATAGGGAGTTAAAAATAAGAATGGGGCAACTGAAAACTGCCGAACGACATGCTTTTCGGAGACAGGTTTACTTAGGTCGGAGCAAATAGCTAGAATGTATTTTCGTTCTTAATTACAAAGGACATTTGCTTGAAGACAAGATCGTTGCTTAAGAGATCAGCTGCTACCTGTTCTCCGCGCATAAGTCATTCTCCTCTGTGGCACCATCAACACATCCTTAGTAACCAATTGTGATGTCAGGAGGGAAGATTGGGGAATAGGTTGCAGAGCCAGCAAACAGCTTCACAGCAATGCCGTCTGTAAGGGACATACAGCAGTTCGGATGGGTAACAATACACAGCCCCATCTCTGCGCTCTGGAGTGCGGTCCCGAAATAGCAATCACGGTCACTGCTCCAAAGCGCGCGTCGGCTCCGTGCTGCAAAGCCCAACTCACAGGAATCATCCTTGCTCACGCACGCTGTCCCTACGGACACCAGCGTGATTGCTCACGAGTACACTACTCTAGCGGGTAAGGATTTACAGGACCTGGCCAGGAGAGGTTTTTTCCAAGATCATGCCTTAATTATAACCTGTATATCACAGAGTTGCGTGATGTTTCTTGACGCTTTTGAAACTAAGGATTATGTGATGCACCTCAGTAAATCGCTCTTTGTTGGTTTTATTTATTTGTGTAGCTTCCTGTGAGGACTGTTGAGAATAACAGGAACATCTATCTTTTGTAAATAGTACCGCTTTATTAAACTTCCCCCCGCGGTTGTGGTGATGCTGTGCTCCTGCTGGTCCCCCCCCCTTCCCGCAGCCAAAGGTGATTGCATTTCAGTTTCTGCTCTGCGTGTGTGTGCGCGCGCGCAGTTTGCAGAGTGCTTTGAGATCCTCGGGCATGAAAGGCGCTTAATAAAAGACAAAGTAAAGTATTATTTGCGTTAATTCAGTACAGATCGTACCAAAAGATGCCATCTGTAAATTAGAGCTTTGGGAGTTTTAAGAGGATACAAAGTGCATTAGCATTCAGATGTGTGGTTTTGTTTTTGTTTTTTAAGGAACTGCAGGTGCTTCTCCCCTTCCCCTCATCTCTTCCATCACCTGGCTTTACAGTGAATACCACATTTATACTGATTTTTGGATGTCAAAAGAAATATCAATCTTTTGTTTAATTATGAAGTGCAATATTTTCTTTGCCAGCTGATTTAAGCACATTTCATATGTGCCTTTGGAAATCTGCTCATACGATTCTCTTAAACAGGGTCAAACGCTTGAAGAACAGTTATTTTCTTAGGGGCATGTCACTAATGGCACAGAATAATAAATTTCATTGTTTGAATCTCTATGCCAAATGCCGAAGAAACTGCGTAGACCCTGCCAAAATGGACTTTATTTTTGCATGGGATGCTGCCTGTTCTAATGCCCTGATTTATTAAAATAATTAATGGTAAATGTTAGTGTATGCAAGCGTGATGGAATTTAAAAAGCCTTCAAACACTTCACCCCCAATTTTGAATTATAGCAAAGATCATGAACTGGTGAGCGAGAGAGAGTGTAACAATTTTCACATACTTCAGTGTGAGTTATACCTAGAGTAGGTGTTTAAAGGCCACAGTTAAGCCATCTCACTAGTTTTATGGTTGCCCTCTTAATACTATTCCAGGAAAAGCTATAACACACAGCTGCATATTATCACTAGCATCATTATTATTGACACTGCTTGCCCTCAATTTGTGGCTGATCATTACTGTAAGGGTGATGGTACAGCAAACTATTTTTATCCAATAGCTTTTGAGGTTAGGGCAAAAACACATCGCCGCAAATTAGTGATCCCCAACCCTTCTCGCTGGAGGCATAGGAAGTTCTTCAGGGTCCAGCATGTATTTCTGGTGTAGCCCACAGGTCTGATGAAAGTGAGCAGGGTGCTGTTCACAGGAATGCTCTCTGCATTGCTTGATGTGTGCGAGACAGCAGTAGCAAAATTGAGTAATGGATCAGAACTGCCAGTATCGTGGCATTCACTGAAGAATTCTGAAGGAACTCAAATGTGAAGTTGCGGAACTATTAACTATGGTTTGTAACCTGTCCTTTAAATCGGCTTCTGTACCCAATGACTCAAAGTTAGTTAATGTAATGCCAATATTTTAAAAGGGCTCTAGAGGTGATCCCGGCAATTACAGACAGGTAAGTCTAACGTCCGTACCCGGCAAATTAGTTGAAACAATAGTAAAGAATAAAATTGTCAGACACATAGAAGAACATAAATTGTTGGGCAAAAATCAACATTGTTTCTGTAAGGGGAAATCATGTCTTACTAATCTATTAGAGTTCTTTGAAGAGGTCAACAAACATGTGGACAGGGGGGATCCAGTGGATGTAGTATACTTAGATTTCCAGAAAGCCTTTGACAAGGTCCCTCACCAAAGGCTCTTACGTAAATTAAGTTGTCATGGGATAAAAGGGAAGGTCCTTTCATGGATTGAGAACTGGTTAAAAGACAGGGAACAAAGGGTAGGAATAAATGGTAAATTCTCAGAATATAGAGGGGTAACTAGTGGTGTTCCCCAAGGGTCAGTCCTAGGACCAATCCTATTCAACTTATTCATAAATAACCTGGAGAAAGGGGTAAAAAGTGAGGTGGCAAAGTTTGCAGATGATACTAAACTGCTCAAGATAGTTAAGACCAAAGCAGACTGTGAAGAACTTCAAAAAGATCTCACAAAACTAAGTGATTGGGCAACAAAATGGCAAATGAAATTTAATGCGGATAAATGTAAAGTAATGCACATTGGAAAAAATAACCCCAACTATACATACAATATGATGGGGACTAATTTAGCTACAACAAATCAGGAAAAAGATCTTGGAGTCATTGTGGATAGTTCTCTGAAGACGTCCAGGCAGTGTGCAGAGGCTGTCAAAAAAGCAAACAGGATGTTAGGAATCATTAAAAGGGAATAGAGAATAAGACGGATAATATATTATTGCCCTTATATAAATCAATGGTACACCCACATCTTGAATACTGCGTATAGATGTGGTCTCATCTCAAAAAAGATATACTGGCACTAGAAAAGGTTCGGAGAAGGGCAACTAAAATGATTAGGGATTTGGAACGGGTCTCATATGAGGAGAGATTAAAGAGGCTAGGATTTTTCAGCTTGGAAAAGAGGAGACTAAGGGGGGATATGATAGAGGTATATAAAATCATGAGTGATGTGGAGAAAGTAGATAAGGAAAAGTTATTTACTTATTCCCATAATACAAGAACTAGGGGCCACCAAATGAAATTAATGGGCAGCAGGTTTAAAACAAATAAAAGGAAGTTCTTCTTCACACAGCGCACAGTCAACTTGTGGAACTCCTTGCCTGAGGAGGTTGTGAAGGCTAGGACTATAACAGCATTTAAAAGAGAACTAGATAAATTCATGGAGGTTAAGTCCATTA